AATCACCCTAAATCCCTCATTTCACAGTTGAGAAAATTAAGCCTTAGAGGACTGAAGTATTTGTCCCAAAGTGACTGAACTCAGGGCCAAGACAAGCACCTTGGTCTTCTGACTTTCACGTGCTAATTACATGTGTCCTAGTGTTTCTTTTAATGTTTACCACTTCTGTGTTCTTTTGGCGCTGGCCAAGATCTCAAATATCATTCTGCTACTTCCCTCTGTGAAGCTTCATAGTGGATTGACACAATAATATGGGGTATAAATGCTACATTCTTACAGCATGAGATCCTCTCCCTAAGAAAATGAATGCTGTTACAATCTTCCTTCATTTTTCTTTTTAGAAAAACTCTTGCTGAGACCTTAAACAGCAAATTTTTCATAAAACTTCCATTTGGATTTGGTTTTGTAGAGAGAAAAATAACATTTCTCCCCTCCCTGCCTGGGTTCTTCCATTGAGACCCTGGATATTAAACTAACAAGAGACAGGTTAACAAGAGGAAAAAAAAGTTTAATTATGGGCACATAAGGTTTCACAAAGAAAAGAGACTTAGGGAGGTGACCAGATGATTGAGGCTTATATACTGTCTCAGTCTGTTTGTGTTGCTATAATAAAATGCTCAAGGCAGGGCACTTGATAAGATAAAAGTGTTTATTTGGCTTGTGATTCTGGTCGCTGGAGGTTCTAAACTATAAGCATGGTGCTGTATACTGGCAGGGGCCTCCTGTTAGCATCATAATGTGGCAGAGAAGCAGAGAGGGAGTTAGTTATATGTAGAGTGGTCAAGGGCTGGGAATGCAGCTCAGTGGCACAGCTATAAGCACAAGGCCCTGAGTTTGAATCCCAGTACCAAAGGAAAAAAAAAGTGGTAGTCACATTTGTGGAGTAGTTTTGGCTACAACACTTCTGTCTTGAGAATTCATGTTGTACATGACTCACTCCTGTGAGGCAGCGTTAATCTATGCATGAGGGTGGAGCCCCCATGACCTAATTACCTTCCATTAGGCACCACCCCTTAAACATTTCACCACCTCGCCACCACCACTTGGGCCAAGCTCTGGGTGCATGAACCTTTGCAGGACACACCATTCCCAAACCACAGCATGCACCATAGCATACATTATTTCTAGAATACAGGGGAGCTGAACTTGTAGCAAACCACAGCATAATATCTTAGGCTAAGTAAAGGAAAAGAGATTTGGGGCTCTTGGGTGGGGGAGAAAAGTGATGGGAAAGGAGGGGAAGAAATAAAAGGTAAGTAAGTAAGCATTGTCTCTGGTACAAATAAGAGCTTCTCATGTGATAAGAGTTGTCTCCAATCTGGGTGTGATGGTGCTGCCTAAAACCCTAGCACTCTGGAAGGCTAAGGCAGGAGGATCGAAAGTTTGAGCCCGGCATGGGCAATTTATGTAGCAACTTATCCTTGTATCAAAAATAAAAAGTTTTTTAAAAAAAGGAAGGAGAGAATGCTGGAGATACAGTGTTTTAGTTACTTTTTCCTTGCTGTGACACAATACCCAATACCCACAACTGCAAAGAGGAAAGGTTTATTTTGGTTTATCGTTTGTAGAGGTTTCAGTCCATAGTTGGCTGGCTACAAAGCAGGGATGGCAGGGCAGGGGTACCTGGCAGAGGAGAAGTACTCACAGCATGCTGGTGGGAAACAGAAGGACCAAAGGCAGAGGGAGGGAGATGGACCCTTACAGAACACACCCCCAGTGACCCACCTTCTATGACCAGGCTTCACCTCCAACATCACTCTAAGCTAAAAGCTTAGTGGACTAATCTACTGATGAATATCACAACCCAGTGATCCAATCACCTCCCAAAAGTCCCATCTATGATCACATGAGGCTTTGGGGGCACATCTAGATATGAACCATAGCATGTAGCTTAGTGTGAAGTCCCTGGATGCAAACATAAACACACACACACACACACACACACACACACACACACACACACACACACACTAGTTGTCTCCAGTAGCTCTCTTCCTGGTACAGACCCCTTTCCAAATAGAAATATCCCTTATAAATGTAATTTTCCCTTACAGAAGAGGAAATGTATACTGTACTTTTTAGGCATTACAGGATGACAAAGAGCTTTTCCTATGTCTCCTGATTCTCAGTTGCTTTTAGCTCAAAATAATTCACATACCAAAGAAACATATTTTGGGTGGCTTATTCTGGAACCCTTCATTCTAGCCTCCCTTTGTAAATCTCCCCCGCCCCCCTGGAAATTTCATATATCAAGAGCTGAGTTGGTATTGACACAGAAAGATTCAGGTTAGGTGTTGCAAGATAAGAAAGTGTAAGAAAACGTAGATTGGAACAAGGATGAGTAGAAAAGGTCAGATTTAAACAAATTGCTCCTCTTATTGGATCAGTCTCTCGGACCTGGAAACAGACCAGTCTAATTAGTCGTGTCTCGTTTTAGGGGACAACATTGTGAGTGGGTGAAGGGAATCTACCTATGTTGGCTCCTCTATGGTGCTACCAGTCAGACAATTAATCAGGTAGATTTCTATAGAAACAAAGAAGACCAAGGGTTAATGGTTAGAACAAATTATAACCATTTGTTCTAACAAATGGTTGTTTCTGAGTTGAGAAGGCCAGCAGTCAACATTTCTTGATTATGAAACAAAGCATGTTTAGATGGTGGAGAGCAGACAGGGAGTGGCAATCTGACAAATTCCCAGGTTGTAGTTTGAGTGTCTCTGGTGATGGCATAAACACTGTCACCGTCATGGTTATTTCTCAGAGCAGAGGACAGAAGGGTCCAATTTCACCTTGCCATGCATTTTTTAGACAGTGCCAATACAGATCCAGGCAATCAGGTTTTAGTTCTCAGTGGTGCCAAATCGGGAGGGTGAGAGAAAAATTGGAAATAATTGTGACTAACAAAATGCCAAACATGGCAAGAGTCAGTTTACAAAGAAAAAAGACAGTGAACGTGAGTAGAATTTAACAATACATAGAGAGTGTGTGCTACTTTCTCATTGAAATGTATATTTCTTTCATTAATTACCCCTAAAGTAAGACTATTTTTGTTTGAAAAACATAGCTAATATCATTAAACTTGGCCTGATTATTGACACATAAATACAGCAAGCATGGTGACTGACAATATAGGTTCTTTTAAGTCTGCTTTACTGGGAGTAACAGAACCCTGGATTATACTTTGAAAAGCCTGTTAAGCTTAGGATGCCAATCCAAGGGTTCACCACCAAACTTCACCAGCAATACTGATAGATTTGGGTGAATTCCTTTCCTCTTGAGGTCTCCCATATATTTTTGAATGTTTTTTAAAATTAAAAAATGTTTAAACATCTTCATACAAAAGGATTCATTGGCCTATCAGAAAGTGACCTTCCTTATTCACCCCCAAGGTTGAGAACTCCATCAGCCAGGAAGTAGGTTAGTTTTCCAAGGGGATTTGGGAATTTGGGCTCCAGAAAGTCAACCTTAGTTCCTTAAAGTTGTCTGGTTTTATCTGATTTTATGCACATCACCCTCAAATATGACACACCAGGCAAGGCCCAGCTAATATAAACAATATTTCTGATTGTGTCCCGTTAGAAAGAAAATGGATTTTTATTGAATTTATGCAAATAAATATGTTGTTTTGAAAACAAGGATATTCAATAAAGATTGCTGAATTCTGCAGGGGCAAGGTCAGGAGAAAAAGCAAATATCATCTCTGTTCACAAAGGTGGACTTTACCAAATTGCTGTAAATTATTGATAGTAAAAAGAAAAGAGAAGAAAGATCCCTTAAATATGGGGAAAAAAAACTATTACATAACCAGCAATATTTCAAACAGGAAGGCCATAATATTATAATCATTCTCATTCATTTATTCAGTCCCAGGGATTTAATCTTTGCTTTGTTTGATTTGGGGTGTGGAGTTTTAAGAATTCATCGATTTCTCTATTAGAGTTTTGAAAAAATTTAAATCTAGTGCAGTAGCTTTGTGCGGGAGAGGGCTGGGGATTAAACCCAGGACCTTCACATGAGCTACATCCCCAACCCTTTAAAAAAATTTTTTTTTAATTTTGAGAGAGGGTTTCACTAAGCTGTCCAGGTTGGCGCTGAATTTGTAACTTTCTTGCCTCAGCCTCCCAGAGTACTAGGATTACAGGCGTGTGCCACCACACCCAGCTCAGTGGAATGATCTTAAAATTATCAGAAACATGTACTTCAGGATACTGTGAGAGTCTTTTTCATGAATCTCCTTGAAGACATAGTTCATTGCAAAAGCTTTTAGAGAAGCAGAGTAAAATAACTGCCAGTAAATGACAAAAGACTTAAAATAGCCACAGATAAAGATCTGACAAGAGTTTCTTATGACATAAGTAATAAGGAAATTTGGTTATTTCTGTGACATAAAACATCTTAAAATGATAAGTCCATGAAAAACATTACATCAAGGTACACCATGGATAGCAAAGATTGATATATTTTTAGGAACTTTACATAATGTCTGAAATATTTATATTAATTACATATGACAATACAAATATAAAGAAGGCTAAGAATCTCTTTTTAGTTGACAATGTGTCCTCTGTAATTTAGCATCTCAAAGAAACTTAATTAGTTTAACATCTCCCCTTTTCAAGGTGAGAGAACAAATCCTTTGACATTTTCCAGGGTCCCTCTGGGGAATCTCCAAGTTCAAGGTAAAAAAAGTCTTCAGAAGGGCCTGGGATTTAGCTCAGTGGTGCTGCCACCTGCCTCGCAAGCGCAAAGTCCTGAGTAAAAAAGTCTTCAGAATTTCATTTGGGAACGCTTGGCAAACAATTTCATAAGTTTGAACACTTAATTAAATGGGATAATGGGTCACGATGAAACAATACTTATTTATTTAACCAAAGTGACAGTAAAGATTTAAAAGTCAAATATGGAAGCTCACATAATTGTAGAACCGAAGCAGAAATAAACCTATGGAAGTCAGCTTTCCATTGTTGTAATAAAACACCTGAGATAAACAAATTGCTCACAGTTTCAGGTTTTAGTCCATGGTCACTTGGTTCTGTTGCTTTGGACAGAAGTTCAGGGTGGAGGAGGCTTCATGGTGTCCCGGAAGCAAACAGAAATAAGAGAAAAGGGCTGGGTTTCAATATTTCTTCAAGGGTTACCTAACTTCCTTCCACTAGGTCTCACCTACTAAAGGTTCCCCAGCTCCAATAGCCCCACCTACTAAAGGTTCCCCCACCTCCCAATAGCCCCACCTTTAGTATGTGGGCCTTTTGGGGAAATTTAAGATCTGAATCATAGCAAAATCTTAGTTCTTTTTATATTGATGACTCATTTATTTTTAAGTAATCAAAAACATGATAAAGATGACTTGTAGACATGCATGAAGCAATTCATTATGTTTGCACATTTTATCTTTAGGCTGAATTATAATTTTATAATCATAAACATCTAGTTCAGGTAGCATAAGCTTATTTCACTAGTAAATTCAGGTGGAATAAAACTGTCTGCTTTATATTTAATGCTGACAAGTCTGAAGACATACCAATTTTTATTTAGACAATATTAACTAGATTTACTTACCTAAGATTATCACAGAGCATGTGAACATGAAAAAAATAATTGGAGAATGAGTATATATAATTTCTATTTTCCTGAGAGTTTAAGAATGTCCAATTTACATAAAAACCTATTGAAGTCTAAATCAGTTACCAGAACTCTGACAAATTTTGGAAATGCCATCTGAAGATAGAAAAATATCAATATACAAAACAAACAGAAGGACTTACATAAATATACAGACAGATGCAAATAGAGATCTCATTGGCTTCATTTAAAAATTTAAACCACAAATCAAGCACAATACAAAGTCCACCAGTTTATATAAAATAGTTGGCTCAGATAGAAGAAGTCACCTGCTCAATGATGGATAAAACTTTTCACCAATATTTGTGGAGAAGGATTTTCAAAATTTTTTACTTATACAGTTGGCTGCCAAATAGCCCTTACACAAATTTCTCCTTCTTCCAATCAGATCTTCTCATATATACACCAGTATGATGGTTGTTTTAGGGTGAGAGTTCTTCCCAAAAATTCCTTTTGGATATAAAATTCCAAATTTCCAAAAGTATCCTCTTCCAATGTCACTCCTAAGCAATACGCCTTTTTATGACTTAACCATGGTTGCAAGAGATGTTCCCTAACAAGCGTGCAAAAGAAGTAATCCTATCCATGTACCCAAGATAAAAAGTTACTCCCAAAGACAGCCCAAGAAAGCAATGACTTTCATAATCCCAGGAGGTAAGAAAACTAGTCTCCCACAAAAGGAAGGGACCTTCAATCACAGACCCACTAGCATGGTACCCTGAGTAGGTAGTACCAGAATGGGTCTTGTCTCCCAGCACAAACAAGGCAACAAAGGGAGAGATGACAAAGCCCCTCAGGGGCTGGGTTCCTTATTAAAGCAAAGCCCTCTGACAGCCAGCCTGGTTAGACAAAGTCCTCCCCGCACATGATGTGTCTTGGGTTCCAGCCTGCTGACCACCTGGTGCATGTCAGCCACACCCTCTCGGCTGGCAAAAACTAGACTGTAAGTGACCATAATGGTTACACAGCCAAACTCTCAGGACACAAAATAAGACAGAAAGAGACCCATGGCAAAGACAGTCTGAACAGATGTTGGTCTGCTGCTACCTATAAACTCATCAGTCTGTGAAGCTGGCTTGAACATCAGGCTCATAGGACCGACGAGCTGTGTTTTACCCTATTATAACAATGACATTAGAACAAATGACAGGAAAAAACAGAAACAAAGGAAAACAATGGCATTTGGGGAGGCTAGGATCAATAACCAATGGTCACTCAAGCTAAGTTTACAAGAGTCACAATCCAAAGAACTAAGTCTTCAAATGTTCTCCTCTTTGTACAAGTGGAAAAGAAAAGACAAAGAGACTTTCACCAACCTCATCCAAACTCTACAGGCAAAAACCCAGGAGGCTGACGTGGGAGAGAATGTTTACCTTTTGCCAGGGGTACCAGATTTCCACTTCAGCCTCTGGAGCAAGTGGGGTGTCCCAGCTGTCGCACAGCGGTTGCCAAAACTCTAGGTGTTGAAGATTTTTCCCTCCTCCATCCTAGGTTTTCCAACTGGGACCCAGGAAATTAAACTGACAAAAGAAACTAACAAGAGAAAAACAGTTTAATTATGCACCCACCAGCTCCCTAGAGTTTCCAAAGCAAAGAGAAACAAGGAAGCACCAGATAATTGAGGCTTATACAGGACCTTAGGCTAAACAAGGGGAAAGTGCAAGTTACGGGAAGGAGAGGGGAGAACAGCAGGACTAACGCAGCTGTCTTGTTATGCAGATAGGAGCATCTAGGGTGACAAGAGTCCTTTCCCGGAGTAGCTAGCTCTCTTCCTTTACACAAGGAAGTTTCCTGTATAAATGTAAATTTCTCTTATAAAAGAGGAACCCTCTTCTTAGGTCGGAGGAGGTAAACAGCTTTTACTGTCCCTGCTGGTTCTCAATTGCCATTAGCTCAAAATAATCCCTATGCCAGAGACCTATTTTGGGGTAGAACATTCTGGTATTCATTAGTTTCAGGAAGAATCTTTTCTTCTTTTCTTCTGAAGTGTTTTTTCAAATAATAATTTGTAATTTCCCAGGGAACTCTTGGTTTTTTTTTTTTTCTCACGTGCTTTTTCTACAAATAAATAAACCTATTTTTTTTCTGATCAGTTTTTATTTTGAAGGTATTTTTTTGGCAGTCTCCTCTCTGTCAGTTGCTACTTCTTTATCCTCTACAAGAGCAGATCAATTTGGTGCCTCTTTGACTCTTTCTTTTCACCTGCCCTTAGCTCTTCACATATGTGTCTCTCCTTTGTTCCTCTTACACATAGGATCTCTCTCTTCCTTCCACTTTTTGCTATTAATAACTTCCCACTGAGGTCTGGTGAGTTCGTCTCTAAATTATCCTCTTGCTATTACTTTTGTCTTTTCTTGCTTTCAACATAATATTTTCAGATTATATGCTTGTGTTCCAAATCTCCTTTCCTTTGCTGAATCAGTCTCACCGGTTAATGGAAAAGGTATGGGATAGGAAAAGTAATATACGGAAAAGCACCAACGTACAGAATATATTAGAAAAAGTGGTATGGATGGGCCACTCTCTTGGGTGCTCCAGGTGTCATTTCCTTATCTGTAAAATTAACGAGTTGTTCTAGCAGGGGTTACGCACTCAAGAGCTGCCAGTGGAGTCCAGGCAGTTTATGTATACACATTAAAGCAGGCCAGGCAGGAACTGTGGGAAGCTGGGGAACGCAGGCAACGTACGAAAGCTGTTAGAACTGCTCAGATGTTGTTACTACCATGGGCAAATGATGGCCATTCAAGGCTGACAGGTCCATATTTTAAGTGTTGACACATAATTCAAATTATGACCCAAACAAAACACATCACAGCAGTGGGGCTGGATTTGGTTCTAAGTAGTCATTTGTGGGCTTCAGATGAGATGAGGATTTTAGGACCCTTTTAAGGGTCCAAGATGTCATGACTCTTCAGCAATATATTTTAATTTTTTGTTTGTTTGTTGTTGTTGTTTTTTGGTACTGGGGATTTAATTCGGGAACTTGTGCTTCCGAGGCAGGAGCCAGAACCACTGAGCTAAATCCCAGCCCTCAGCAATATATTTTAAATCTACCTAGTAGCTCTCCCTTACTGCACTCCCTAATTATTTCCTGGTCATTTCTATTGTTTATTTGGCTGTCAGTCTCCTAAATGCACACTCCGGAGTTTCTTGGAAGAGGAAGTGGTCCCCCTTTATCTAACACAAAGTATCCAAGTGTTTTCCTCTAGAAGCTCTAATCATCAGCACCTGCTGAGCACCGGGATCTCCTAGAACAGCCCACTCTGTGGTGTGTAGATGGATTCTGGGCTGCAAAACCTCTTGGCGTGAACAGTTTGCTCCTTGTTCCCTTGTGTGGGGCAAACTTGGAGCCCTTCCATGTTACTATGCTTTGGTTATGTTTTGAGTGTGCCCCTCAAAGGTTCATCTTCTGGAAGCTTGGCCCGCAATGTGGTGATGTTGAAGTGGTGGAATCTTTAAAAGGTAGCTTTTAAAATGGGTGTGGTGGCACACACCTATAATCTCATTCTAAGGGCCTGAGCCAGGAGGATCACAAATTCAAGCCTCATCTGGGAAACTTAGTGACTTAGTCAGACCTTGTGTCAAAACCAAAACAAAACAACCTTTAAAAAGCTCAAAGAACTGCGGATATAGCTCAATGTAAAAGCGTGGTTCAATCCTCAGTATTGCCACAAATAAACAATAAAAAAGTGGGGTCTAGTGGGAGTAGTTATGTCATTGGGAGTACAACTCTTAGAAGGTTAATGTTCTTCTGCAAACTCTATTAGTACTACCTCGAGAACAAAGGCAATAAAAAGAGCAGTCCTGGCCCCTGAATCTCTCTTGTTACCTATCTCATCATGTAGTCTCTTGCTGTCACACACCCTCTCTCTATAATGCTATCTACAATGTTGGGATTTAGTTGAAAGTCCCTTACCAAGGCCAAACCAGCAGGGCTAATTAAATCACTTTTCTTTATAAAGTACCTTGATTACTTTATAAAATAGCCTTGGTTATTTTATTATAGCAACAGAAAATGAACTAAGACATATCTACTCTATGTAACATTAATTTGCAAAAACTTAAGGCTCAGAAGCCCAGGGAAAGGAATAGATGCTAAACAATAAAAAATGGAGAAGCATTCTAAGAGGATAAAGAAGCCAAAGGATAGTCATTAAGTACTGCCTTACCCCATTTCATGGTAGTGCCTAAGAAATTTCCTACAAAGGAGTTTATTTGGGCATCTCTACTGGACCAAAGCCTCTTTCTGAGTTCCTCTCTGTTGTCATACTTTTTAGTTAAATTCTGATGGGCTCGCCCTCTATTTCCTGTTACATTTGGTCACTCATGGGTAAGTTCCATCATGTCCTCCCTGTAAGTGAACCTTGGGAATCTTCACCTTCTAGTGTTTCAGCAATATCAATTGACCCTCAAAATTAGAAGAAAAATAAGGCTTAAGGGTCAGTAGTATTAACAAAGAGGAGAAAACTCTCTTAGAAAATTAGAATTTCTGTGAGATTTCAGAAAGTATTATTGATAAAGCTAGGGATCCACACATTACAGAATTGGGAAATATTTCTCAAACTGCAAGTTCTTTAAAATAATCTTTAATTTCTTAGTTTTGATGATTACACTTCAAGCTGCTCTTTTTAATGTGAGGGTAATTCAAAGTAAAGAACTTATGAATGTTTTTTGAGAAATACTAATTTTAGGTAGGCAGTTGTGAGGAAGATGATCATCATACAAGCCAAAGCCACATGATTCTTCCACAAGCCCCAAGGGGAGAGATCAATGCCCTGATTTTTCAAATATTGTGGGTTTTTTTGGACCGGGGATGGAACTCGGGTCCTTCCGCTTGCGAGGCAGGCGGAAGAACCACTGAGCTAAATCCCCGGCCCTTAAATATTGTTTTTTTGATGATTATATGAAGTATACTTTTTCCAAAGCCTGTTTTGAATCTTTGTATCATCTTTTAACCAACCAAAGACTGACATGCAGTTTCATGTAATTTATTTGCATTTGTGTTTGATTGTGTTAAAACCAACCACTTACCCATCATCAACTTCCAATTCAGTACTTTTCAAATCTTCACCATGAAATATTAGAAATTTGTGAATTTTCAGTAGGAAATATAATTGATGTATGTTGAAGGGAACCAGAATATGCCTTTGCCAAAAATATGCCTTTCTGGCATATAGACTGTTTTGAGCTGAAGGCAATTAAGAACCAACAGGTGGGGCCAGGGATTTAGCTCAGTGGTTTTGCTGCCTGCTGCGCAAGCACAAGGACCCGAGCTCTATCCCTGGTACCCCCCCAAAAAAGAACCAACAGGTGCAGGAAAAGCTCTTTACTCAACTACAACTGCCTAAAAGTAGAGTATATATTTTCTCATTTTTAAAAGAAATTTAGATTTGTACAGGGAATTTCCATTTGTAAAAGTGTCTGTGCCAGGAAGAGAGCTGCTCCTGGTGACAACTCGTTGCCTGAGATGCTCTTATCTGTGTAGCAAGACAACTTTTACTTACCACCCTTTTCCTTCCCTCGCCTTTCTATAACTTGCCTCTCTTTCAGAAGCCTCAGACCACTTTTCCTTTGCTTAGCTCAAGATGTTGGATAAGGCTCAAACATCTGGCTGCCTCCTTGAACTGGACTTCTTTGTAAAACTCCCAAGCCCGGCTTACATAATTTACCCATTTTTCTCTTGTTAATCTGCCTTTTTTCAGTTTCAATTTCAGGATCCCTGTTGGAGAACCTAGGAACATAGAGAGAAAAGGTCTTTTCCTCCCTTATATAGGTTTGAAACTAGAACCTGGAATAAGATGTTTTAAGTTCTCAATACATTGCCTGACATTTAGAAACCTCTAAAAATAATCCTAGCTACTTTTACTATATGGTTACTATTCCTCTTCTGCTTACTTAAAAAATTGATATTTATATTTATTTATATTTATATAGATATTTTATTTACTATTTCAAAATAATATGCCAACACAGCCTTAGGAGACAGAGATGGTGCCAATCTGGTGGCTATAATCTGAGTCACTCTATGTTATGGCTTGTAGCTAGATGTCCCCCTAAACTTCATATGGTCATAGGTAGGGCTTTTCAGAGATGGCTGGATCTAGGGTGTGTGATGCTAGGATTAAGAATATAATGCTAGGATTAATAGTGTGATGCTGGGATAAGGGTGCCGCACCCTGGGTATGAGTGCTACCTGCCCTAAGAGTGGGTAGCCTGGATAGGACATAAGGGACAGAAAGAGGGCTGCTGCTAAGCAGTTGCTTGGTACCTGCTGCCTTCTGCCTGCCCTGCTTTGCTATGGACTGTTTCTCCTCTGTGATTCCCCTCTGTCATGCCACCCTGCCTTGGAGCCAACAGATTATGAACTTAAATCTCTACAAACTGTGAGCTAAAATAAACCTTTCTTCCTTTAGCTTTTGGTGTCAGGTATTTTGTCTCAGCAAGGAGAAAAGTAACTAAGACACCCTAATAAAGAATTCCTGACTAATACTTTAAGAATTTCTCCCCTTGTGGGTGTACCTTGAGACCATAATGGTAAGTGAAATAAATCAAACACAGAAAATGAAAGATCACATGGTTGCTCTTACATGAGAAACACAAAGCATAAACAGTTTAGGAGCAAAATAAAAGATAAATGATAAGAAAGAGGGAGACAGACTGTGTAGAGATGTCTCTGGGAAGAGGATCTGAGGATGGGGAAGGCAGGGAGTGAAGGAGAAGGGGAAGTAAAAAGGATCAAGGAGATACATATATATATATATACCAATTCCACACCATGAATGTATTGATTATGTATTGCAAACATCTACTAATAAAAGGAAGGAGAAAAACAAAATTTAAATTTCAAAAAAATTTCTTCCTTGCTACTAATTATTTACAATTCAAGATTAAGGGCCAGGGATTTAGCTCAGTGGTGCCACGCCTACTTTCCAAGCTCAAGGTCCTGAGTTCCATCCCTGGAATGGGGGTGGGGGGTGGGGGGATTTAATTTTTATCTTCTTATATTAGAAACAGCTAGCTGGGGGGGGGGGATTTAACTCTTATCTTCTTATATCCCCAGCTTGGGCTGGGGATTTAGCTTAGTGGTGCTGCCGTCTGCCTCACAAGCACAAGGTCCTGGGTTCAATCCCCGATACCACAAAACAAAAACAGCTAGCTATCTGCTAAAATTTTTGCCTCTGTGTAGGGAAGAGAACTGTCACTGGAAGCTGTCCAGTTGAGGACCTTGTTTTCCTGTTTCTTTGTACCTGGTATGGCTTTCCTTCTGGTTCTAACCCACTGAACGTGAACAGGAGTGGTGTATGGCATTTTAAGGTTAATACTGAAGAAGAAATACTGCCTTTGGGCTCTTCTTTCTGCCACCAGCTGGAAGGATAAATGCCTTCAGTGGCCATGAGAGAAAAATAAAACTCTACTGAGTTGAGTATTTTGGATTTATTATTTACTGCCACTAACACTATCCTAATTAATATAAAAATTGGTACCTTGAAAGAAGAACTGCTATAATAAATCCCTAAAGTAACTGTTATTGGCTCAACACGTGGGTAGCCAATTGAAAAGGAACAAATGTTGGGTGCTAGAAACATGGAGACCCAGGTTATACACTGGTAAACCATTTAAAAAATTATATTTATAACTTGAAAGGCAGAATCCACTCCTACAATGGATCAGTGACTGTTACGTATTCACAACTCTTCATTTTCTTAACAGGAGTTT